AATCAGCGTGTCTATATAATTCTAATTCTTCCAGATATTGTCTTAGCTGAGTGTCAATGCCTGTTGGTAATTGTTGTTCATGTGCTGTGCCACAAGCGTAGACTGAATAATTTCATCTATATATACTGCCATTGTAATGATGATAATGTATAAAAATTATCCAGCTGGGCCTGTTTTGTTGGATTTTCTTCAGTTTTGTCAATCTGCTCAGCATGCTCAGATTGACTTCAATCTTGTTTTTTCGCCTGTCAGTGTTGCCTGTAATGAGAAGAGTTTAGTTTGAAATTATGGATCAACCAGTGTCACCACTATATAAAAAGGTTTCTCCTTGATGTCTTTAAAATACTCATCCAATGACTTGATTAGGATTGACTTCATCGTCTTTACACCTGCATTATTGCAAAACATCGTGTGTCTTCCCTTCAGAATTTTTTGTTGCATTGTTCTTTGAAATTAGGCTTAGCAAATTAAATTGTAAAGATATGTAAATACAGATAGCAAAACAAACATGAAGTTCATAGACTATAGAATTACTAAAAACATTGATTTGTAAAAAACTAAAAACTTTGTAAAAATAAAATATCAAGTATACATGTTATCAAGGGCAAAAAAACATGTAATAAAAATCTGACCATAATTCAGAAATCAGGCCAAAATTATGCCAGATTTGATAACATTTTGCCGGAGCTGGATTTGGGCCGGATTTGTAAAAATGGCCGGATTTTGGCCGGAGCAGGAGCCGGAGCCGGTACAGCCCTAATATATATAAAGTTATATATATATATATATAAAGTTATATATATATATATAAAGTTATATATATATATATATATATATATATATATATATATATATATATATATATATATATATATATATATATATATATATATATATATATATATATATATATATATATATATATATATATATATATATATATATATATATATATATATATATATATATATATATATATATATATGTAGACCACACGGGTAAAACCACAGATGTCACATTTTTTCATTTTGAGAAAAATGAAATTTAGCATTATGTCATAGTGACATAATGCTAAATTTAGATATCTAATGTCACTATGACATATCATAATGTCATAGTGACATTAGATATCTGTTTATTATAATTTATTTAAATAAAAGTATATTTTTATGACATTTTAGTCTTTTCACAATATATAAATGCAGTTTTTGTGCTAAATATAAGAATTATTTATTCACAGTGTTCTTTTGAAAACAAGACACTCATTTTGGACATCTGTGGTTTTTCCGTTGTAAACTCATTAACTCATAAATTTCGTTAGCTTGTAACCTTTTAGAGCACTTACTTTGCTTAAAGATTATGGTAGTATAATATATGCAACCACAAATTACTTAGATGTTTGTGAGGGGATGTTAAGCCTTCCTCTCACCCCCCCCCCCCTCCCTTTCTTATGAAAAAAACAAACAAACTCAAATCAAACAATTCTCAAATTTTTTTTAAGCTTTATAAAAACTACACTTGCAACCATTACTTTCCTGAAACATATCTATCTATCTTATTTTCTGTAATATATCACTTTGTATTGAGTTTGTATAAACCCTGTTGTAAAAAAAACCTGTTGTAAAGAAACCGTTAATAAAATAAATGCTTTTTTAATTTTTTTTTTAAATATAAAGTTTATTTCCTGTGGTTTGCCACAATGATTAGATTATTATTATTAGATTATTATTTAAATTATATTATATAAATAAATTTCTTTATATCCAAATAAGACTTTTACTTTCAAGATTCTCATACAACTCCTGTTGATCTATATTTGATTTTACTGTATCTGATGAGCTTCCTTGGTTTGAAGAATCAGATTGGCTGGTGGAAATACTAACTGTTTGTCCAAACACATTACCTAAATTTATGAAAAGATTTTAAAAAAAGCATTAATAAAACGAATCAAATCAACTGAATTTTTATGAAAATTTATTTTGAAGAAATATTCAAAATTGCAATCAAAAACAATTTAATATATTATAAAGGTAAAATAAATATACAGGGGTATTACTTATATTACTTTCTTTATAAAGTTTTCATTTTGAGAATATTTTCCAAATATACAAATAACTATAAGTTTTTAAATTTTATAACTTAAGTTATAAAATTTAAAAACTCAAGTTTTTAAAACAATTAACATTAAATTTTTGGAAAATTAGTTTACAAGATGAACATTTTCTAATATAGGACAAGTTTCATTTCAATGGAATTAACAATAAAAAATTACATATATAATATATATATATATATATATATATATATATATATATATATATATATATATATATATATATATATATATATATATATATATATATAATATATACATATTATATATATATAATATACATATATAATATATACATATAATATATATATAATATATATATATATATAATATATATATGCATATATATATATATGTATATATATATATATGTATATATATATATATATATATATATATATATATATATATATATATAATATATATATAATATATACACATTATATATATATGCATATATATATATATATATATATATATATATATATATATATATATATATATATATATATATTGTTTTATGTAGTGTTGTATTAAAATAATACACAACTCTTGTTCGTTGAAAAGTGCTCAATAATTAAGAAATTTATTTTGATTATATATAAATTTCATAATAGAGCGGTTTATGATTAAAAACGAAAAAAGAAAAAACTTTTATTATGGAACTTTAAGTTTCATGTCTAATGGCAATCATAAGCCATATATTACAAAATTTAAAATAGATGTTAAAACTACAATTAAAATTACGTTGGCGTAAGTTCTAATGACTCCATGGAAACAAAATTTTAAAAGTTTTATCATGTGGCAAAAAAGTGACGTAAACCAATCAGGATCAATCTGCAAAAGTTAATGAAAAGACATGCAACTGCATTGATAAATCCAAATGTCTGATGAGCAACCATTGTCTTTCTAACAACATTGTTTATCAAGCCACCGTTTGTTCAAACTATCTGGAGTACAAAGAAAAAGTGTATTTTGGACTCGAGACATCTTTTAAAGTTCGATACGCAAACCACCTCAAATCTTTTAATTCAATTAGATATAAAAATGATACTGAGTTATCTAAAGAAATATGGAAATTAAAAGAAAAAAACTTTACACCTTTTGTCAGATGGAAGATTGTTAAACATTGCAAACCATACAACCCAACATCAAGAGTTTGCAACCTCTGTTTGAACGAGAAGTTTGAAATTTTGATGTATAAAGGTGAAAACCTACTTAACACAAGGAATGAAATAATCTCAAAGTGTAGACACAAAAATAAATTTCTTATTTCCTCCTATGATACCGCTATGATATATATATATATATATATATATATATATATATATATATATATATATATATATATATATATATATATATATTTATATATATATATATATATATATATATATATATATATATATATATATATATATATATATATATATATATATATATATATATGGTCAATTCCATACATCACGCACGTCACTTTTCAGATGTATACAAGCTCAAATTTTATAATAAAAAAATATAAAGCACTATTAGATGCATAAATCTGTTGCCAAACATGACTTTTACAACATAAAAACATAAATTCTTAATTTTAAGTATGTAAAACATTTAATTTACACATATAATGATGGTCACGCACGTCACTTGAATTGGACAAGTCATAATTTCATCATCAAAAAATACTATTTTCCTGAGCTGTTATAAACACATCTGTGTCATTTTTAAACGCAATATACTTGAATCTATAACAAAACGGAAAATGTTAAAAAAGACACCAGAATGTGTAGTACATGAAAGTGGTAATACATTTTCCAAAATTGTGTACTTCACGCACGTCACACTTTTATCTATCACGCACATCACATTTCAGATAAAAACGCAATATAATTTATTGTTACAGTTATAATTAATTGTTTGCAAGTCTTATGTTATTATGATATTCTATATAACATTAGTTAGATACCATAGAAATCAAAAAAGAAAACAAAAAAGACCCAAACTATTAGTTAACTTTTTACTCGTAATGTCCTGATTTTGTGGAATTGATATATAATATATATATATATATATATATATATATATATATATATATATATATATATATAATATATATATATATATATATATATATATATATATATATATATATATATATATATATATAAAACTAGTAAAAACACTAGTCTAATTTTTTCTTCAACAAATTATTTCTTCATCAGTAGGTTCGTCAAGAAGCTGTTTTTGTATTTGTAAAATACACTTGCATCATATATATATATATATATATATATATATATATATATATATACATATATATATATATATATATATATATATATATATATATATATATATGCATATATATAAACTATATATACATATATATATATATATATATATATATATATATATATATGCATATATATAAACTATATATACATATATATATGTATATATATATATATATATATATATATATATATATATATATATATATATATATATATATATATATATATATATATATATATATATATAAATTATGTATATATATATATATATATATATATATATATAATATCTTTTATTGTAACATTATGTCAATGTGTCTGACCTCCTTATTTTTGACTGGTATAAATTAGACAGCTTCCTTTCTTTTGAGCAACTACATAGGATTTTAATAATTACAAGATTAATACAAAAAGATCATTTTATAAATTTGTATATTTTTTAAAAATTTTTTATTTGTTTGAGTTGGGAATCCCCAGGTTTCTGAAATCTCAGAACCCTATGGTTTTTACCAATTCTGAAACCCCAGGATTAAGCACTTAATATTGAACTTTTTAAACATAAAACAAAAAATAGCTTACAGTCCCATTTAATTTTTTTGAACTCGTATTTGATTAAACATTTTTAATTTTAAATTTTTTTGGTTATGATTTGATTAATTTCATATTGTACTTATTGCTTCCTCAAAACATTTTATAAATAATCAAAAATAATTACATATGAATGTTTTATTTATAAAAACAATGAAAATATAATATTATAATTTAATAATTGTGTATAATATTGAAAAACCGAAGCATTTCCTTATAATTTAATAGTTTTTTTAATAATATTTTTTAAGAACAGTTATTTAAAAATCCCTGGATTAATACCGGAATCAATTCTGGGATCCATGGACAATTCTGGGATCCATGGACAATTCTGGGATCCATGGACAATTCTGGGATCCATGGACAATTCTGGGATCCATGGACAATTTCTGGGATCCATGGACAATTCTGGGATCCATGGACAATTCTGGGATCCATGGACAATTTCTGGGATCCATGGACAATTCTGGGATCCATGGACAATTTCTGGGATCCATGGACAATTTCTTAAAAACCTACCTTTACTTAAGCTCTTTTTACTATTTGAAAACAATAAGAAAAGACTTAAATCAAAATGAAGAAGCTGATAAAAGACTGAAATTGAAATAAATAAGCTGAAGAAAAGTCTTAAACTAAAATAAACTTTGATAAATTTTATTTTAAAATTGTTGCTGATAATTCATAAATAAAAAAAAGTGAAAGATTTTTTGTTTTCTGTTTATCTGTTTCTTAAATGCTGGCACATTAAGTAATATAATTTTAGCTGTTTTTGCTGTTTTTTTGATAAGTGAATTTTTTTCAAGGATTATTAATAAAACTATACAATGCAGTTTTGCGGTTAAATAAGACCCTGATCTACCTTCCTTGATACATCACATTTCCAAAATAAATAAAAAAGGCTTACTATTAATTCAAATAATAATTAAAAAAAAAAATTAAATAATGTCATTGAATTAGAAAATACATGTGATATTACAGTATCTAAAAAACTCAATTTATTATTTTAAAAGTGGAAGACACTCAACAATTTATATGGGTCTGGTAGAGTATTTTCTCACTCTCTGCTCTTCTGTTATGTAAGATCAACTTAATGATTAATCACAACTAATAATAATGGCTTTAATGACAATCATGTTTCCAAATCAAGTCTTACAGAAATGCCTGTCTATCCATTCCAATAATGAAAAGTACCTAATTACCCAGACGAATTCAGTAAAGTAACATATTGTAAGGTTGCAAAATTTTATCTATTTTTAATTGTTTAATCTAAATTGTTTAATAAATTTTAAATTGAAAACACCCAATTAAAAAAATGAAAATTGTTTACTTTATTATCTTCATCCATCAGATTACAGAGAGATGTCAAGCTCTGAAACAGCAATGTAGATTATTTTTCTTCATCTGGCCTACGCCTGACATCAATTTGGACTAAACAGTCAAGAATCTAAAGTTAAAGATCTCGTATTTCTGTCTCCTAATGATCTTAGTGAAGATGAGTTTATTGATAAGTTCCTCTACTTTTTGTCTGTTTGATGCCATCTACTGACAATCAGCCCTTAGATCTTCTGAATAGAATTCATACAAAAGGATTTGAAGGAAATTACCCTCAGATATGTATCTGTCTACGTATCTTTCTTAGTTTGCCAGTATGTGGCTGAAGACAAGAGAGCAAGAGCTATCATGGGACAGGATTGTCTTAACAACTGTCTTTTAATCGAAACAGAATTTGGGAAGGAATTTAATTACAATGATGTAACTTCCAATTTTGCTGTTAGTAAAGCTCATAACGCCTTGGTATAACATCAGAAAAACTTGATACTAAACCCAGAAATTTTTTTGTTGTTGTTGTGTTTAATTGTTTGATTCGTGAACTGTCTTAAAAACAGAATTTTTAAAATATTTTGTGAATACTAGAAATAATAGCTTTATTTTTCTTATAATTTTTATTCTGGTGGCGATTAGGGGAAAGGGCATCCAGTAAATTTTTTTTTTATAATATACCCCAAGCATCATGAAGTATTAATAGATTTATAAATAATCTTTTGATATCATTTGGCAGATAATGTATGAGAAATAAAATGTTAGACTTCTCTTTGTTAACAACACAATTCAAGATTTTCCAAAATTGGGTGGAGTGAGACTTAAATCCAACAAGAACGAATAAATGAAAAGAATGTTTCCATGCCTTCCTAATTCAAAAATATTATGTATAAGGGTAGTTTTTCACAAAATGATAAAAGATGTTAAAAGACAGTTGAAGACCAGTACAAAGAAAATTACAAACAAACTACCAACTCCATTACCAGACTCACTAAAGGTAGTAGTAAAAAATACAATGATAAGGTGAACCCGAAACAAAAGAAGTACAAGATAAAATTTTTTTTGCAATCACAACATAGTGCAAACCACCTTAAGGAATACTAGGACAAAGCGAACCCAAGCTCTACAGACAGAGAAAAGACACAAATCAAGAAACTAGGGTAAGTGATCTAGACAGTCTTAAAATCCAGTTACAAAGTTAACTATTTGAATAAGAGCTCAAGAAACTGTTTGAAAACTAATTTGAAATTAAAATACTTAATCCATCAAACTTGAACTTATGATTACATAAACAAACTTTCCTGCTAACCAATCCGATTTCATAGAAATTTGTGAATGGCCTTTATATTTTTACAAATAAACTGAGAAAGTTGCTTCACAATATAAAAATATTGCACATAATTTTCCAGTGCTTGATAGTAACATGCCATTCCCAAATATGACAAAGCTTGTCATTTGCCATGTGTCATGATCAAACCCACAACCTAATGAAAGTGGTGTGCACCTATGTGACTCCACAGTTCAGCACATACTTATAACAGTTAATCCAAAAATTCAAGTGGTCTAATAAGACTTTGAGAGACTATAAATATCACATTGATAATAACCTGAGTATATTTATATATTTTCAAAAAACTTAATGACTTAGATAAACTTGCCTCAACTTAATTAAAAATAAAGCATTGAAAGCAGTGCAAGAGGTCATTTCCTCAAAATGAAAATTTTGAGCTAAAGTTAAAAACATTAGATAAGACATAGACTTTATTAGATGTTACCAGTAAAATAACCCCCTCTTATCAACCATATCTTAGAACTAGATCAAAAATTAATTAAACTTGATAAACTTATTTGTAACTATTGACAACTGCCATTGATTAAAAAAAAAAACTTACTTCGTTCTTTTTGCCATAAATCACCATTGCTGTTATTTAACAACCTGACCTTAAGATGTTCAGATAGTTTTGTGAAACATAGCAGAACATTGAGTGTAACATTAATGTCACGAGTTTTATAAATTGATAATAAAGAAAGAAATGTCTAAAATAAAATAAATATTATCAATGTGAAAAAAAAAATACATATATTATAATATATTACCTAATTATGCATTATCGTGGTAATAAATTAATAAAATAATACAAAAAACAGTAAAAAAAATAATCATAGTAATTTATTTTTTAACTAACCACTAAAAACAGAAGTTAATGGTTTTAGTTAATAGTGATCAACAAAAAGACAATTTCTTAATTTAAACATTTTATATTTATATTTTATATTTATATTTTATATTTAACTATTTCAAAGTTCATTATTTAAACAGTTGTAAAATAATAGTTTTAATTAGTAAAAAAAAAAAAAAACCTTAAATTATTTTGCTTTAAAAGATTTAAAATAATTCTTACACTGAAATGACTCACCCTATAAATGGCTGGTCTTTGAAGAAAAACCTCAGCAGGAAAATCAAACAAAATAACCTCTTGGAAAAAATCACACGACTGCTTTATAATGGTTGGGGAAGCACTTTTGAGTCTATTATCAGTTGCGTGAAGTATTTGCCTGTCGCCCGAAGAAAGAGATAAAAATTGGAATGTTGTTGGTAATGAACCTAAAGATTTAATTATTTTTATTAGAACAATAACTAAACACACGTTCTATCCAAACTCGCATGCAGAATGCCAACTTTACACAATTAAATAATATAACACTTAAAATTAAATAAGTAGTAAAAAATTTAAAACTAGTGAAACCCATTTAAAATCTGGCTACAGCAAATAATAAAATAAAAATATTCCCACATACAAAATTCAAAAGTTTATAATAATTTTATATAAATTGAATAAACCTCAAATAATAAAAAAATAGTAAATATCTAAATACATTTGTATTTAAAAATATATAAATTTTTCAAATATTCTAAAAACAAATATATTTAACAAAATTAAACTTGAAGTTTTAATTTTTTTATTTTAAATTGATTTATCCTAATCTTTTATATGCAGATTCAAAATTAATAAAAAAATAACTACAATAGAAATTTCGCGTTTATCTGATAACTTTACTCTGAGAAATTTGGTGTTTATCTGATATTGGTGTTTATCTGATTTGGTGTTTATCTGATTTGGTGTTTATCTGATATTGGTGTTTATCTGATTTGGCAATAAACACTAAACTTTTGACATCACTATCATTTTTATCTGTTTTATGTGGAAACTGTTTTTTTGTTTTTTTTTTTTATAGATCAGCCAAGTAAAGTTATTTATAACATTAGAACATATTAAACATATAGACTATTTAACATTACCAAAGTATAATGGTGTTTATAGATAGTTTATAGACAAAAATTATAGATTAAAATGTAAAATTTTAGAATAAAAATTCTCATTTTAATAAGCTTAAGTTGCTATAATAAAAAAGTTTTTTTTAAATTTTTGTCAAAAATCTACTCTAAAAATCTAAAATTTACAATAATTTTATTTTTAAATCTTTAGAACTTTCTTATAAGAAATAATGATTAAAAATATTTTTGTTTTCAGAATATTTGAAAAATTTATATATCTTTAAATACAAATGTATTTAGATATTTATTAGAAACATAAACAAGAACATTCAAAATAAAATTCATTGTACCATAAGTCTTTTCTGCTATTTCAACTTGAAAGTCTGTCTGCATCTTACAAGGTGATAAACCTTCTGTGTTTGGTAAGGTATTAGAAATATTATGAAAAGAAGAAAAAGTAGAGAAAGTCTCAATGTAATGATCTTCTTTGGTAGATTGCACATCTGCATACTTGATGCTATTGTTAATTTTATCTGTAAAGAAAAAATTTATAATAATTTAATATAATAAACTATGTAATTAGTAGTTTGATAACTCAAAAAATCTGATTTTAATGAGATATTAAAAAAAACAGACTAACTATTTGCATTTTGAATATCTAACTGTTGATTGTTGTCACTACTGCTTATAACATTGACATGCAAATAAAACAATTTATCCAAAAGATTGTCAATATCTAGTAAATAATCTTTGCCCTTGTGTTGTTTGTCATGACGAAAATGTGTTAAAAATTCAACACCACCGATTTCAATTAATTTCTCAGCTCCAAAAGGAAACTAAAATAAGAAAAAATTTAGAATAATAACAAAAATTAGTAGACAAATATTTACCTACCTCTAATAAATTGCACAAAATTTTTAATAGAAATACTATTCAAATAAGTTATAGTGGCATATTGAACCTGGGAAGATAACTCAAGCTCAAGTTGGATAAGTGTTTATTTTACTAATTTATAATACTCTTTTTTTAAGAACATTGAGCACACTTTTTGTAGAATAACTTAACATATTTGACATAATATCTTGATAACCATGTAAAACCATGTAAAATTTACAACAATTGAGCAAAATTTGAAAAACTTTGGCTCTGCCAAAAATAAATTATTTAAAAAATAAAATGATAAAAAAATGCCTCTCTAAACAAATGGTTCATGAACAATAAACAGTGTCTATATGTGTCTCTGTAAAAGGATTATTTTTTTTAATTATTTTTTAAATAATTTATTAAACCAACTAAAAAAATTTTTGGTCTTGTTTACCTTTGCTAATTCAACCAGCAATTTGATTGTTTCTGAAACATTTTCATTTTTGTTTAAAAACTGCAAAAGATAAATGTATAACGTGTTCTCATATAATAAATCGTCAATTGTAATGATACCATTTTGTAGCTTTGATAGAATATTTTGAAAAGATCTAACACGAACTTCAAGTAGATTGTGACCTTTTTTATGATAGATAACAAATATTATATTTAAAAGTAAATATAAATGATTTATTAACTAAAAATTAAACTTATTAATCAATATATTGTTATAAGAAAAAAAAATCATTTTTTAAAACATAAAATTTAGATAACAAGTAAGGCTAAATGTATAAATGCAATTAAAACCCATTGCAGCTGGAAAATCAAATTTTCTGAAGGGTCATTACTTGCCAAAAAAAACCCAACTTTTTATAGTTTCTCATGGACCATTTTAGATTTTGCCAAAACGTTTTGATTTTATACATTTATATTTGAAAGCATGTTTTAAAAAATTCAAATAATATCTAATGCAGTTCTTGAGAAAACACTACTTAATTTTTCTCTTTAAAAAAAAAATTATTTTTGGTTTTTAACAGCTTAAAATAAATAGTATTTCATATTTAAAAACAAATAAATTTAAAACACAAAAAGTAAGTCACTAAAAATTTTACAATATTTATATAACTTGAAACTTTAGTTAAAAATACAATGAAAAAAATCATAAAATTCAAAGAAAATCAAATTTATCAAATAAAAATAAATTTTATTGCTTTTAAGTCAATATTTAAGTCTTCTTCATTGAGTAACTAAAGTTTGAAACATCAACTCCATCACAAAGACGTTTTTTACTACCAACTCCATCACAAAGACTCTTTTTTTCCCACCAATTCCATCACAAAGACTTTTACCATATGATGTAGCAAAAACATGTCATTCTGCAATAATGTTGAAAGATTGTTTATGGTATAATAAAGTTTTTAATATTTTTTGTATTGTGATGTAGCTATGCCATTGAAATAATAGCACCCAGTCATCATTTAGCATTACCTACATTACTTATCATACTTAAAAGAGATTAAAGTTTTCCATACTTCACATGCCAATTTGCGATCAAAATTTGTCTCTCTTTTGAGATATTCCTATCTTCCTGCATCTGTCCCTTTAAATTCTCAAATTTACAAATTAAACAATCTTACCAAGTTTTCATTCTTTGATAAACAGAAGGAGTGTTTCATACCAGCACTTACAAACATTTTGATCTAACCAAGCATTTGCTTGGAAGTAAACATTAATATCTTTGTGTCATGCTAACTTTTGGTCGTTTGAAATACAATTTTGTTGGCCTCTAAAAATGATATCTAATTTTGGTTGCTCTCCTTCTGGTCGAAACATAATTTGAAGGGAACAATGCCATTTTTCCAATCATAAGACCAGTTGTAAGATCCATGTATTATGTGTTGTACCTTGACCCTTAGGAACATATTCGTTCATTCTTTAACCATGAACAACAAAGAGAAGTGGGCTCTGGATAACATTGAGCTTTAGTGCTAGTTGATAGCATCCCCCATTTTGCTTTCATAACTTGGATCTTAAGAATCTCTTCTAATACACTTTTCTCTGTATATCGCATGACAGTTCAGTAACGATGGTTCTATTTCTTTCTTATATTTTCTTTTTTTTTTTTTTTGATTCTATTTTATTTTTAACACTTTTTTTGTTGTAAAAATTGCACATTTACATGATGATTTTCGCTTTTGGATCAATGTCAAATTGTATTTGTCTAGCTTTTCTCTAAAGCCAGGAAATGTTAACAATGTGCCCTTTCAATTTGGATTGTAAAAACTCATTGTAAATAACTTCATACAGTTGCAAACTGTTTCTTAAAGATAAGACTTTTCATAAAAAAAGGTATTTTGCAAAAATTCTTCCCTTCAGAAACAATTTGCGGTAGGAGAATGCAGCATCCTTATGGATAGATTTTTTTTTTAAATTAATCTCAAAATCTGACTTTGTGTTACACCAAACAATTCTGCTATAGTTTCTTGATTTGCCTCATTATAATAAGTGTTAATTGTTAAAAATAAATCATATCTTTCACTGCTAGAGTGATAAATACTTAATTACTTTGAAGGACTTTTGCTTCTGAAGTTTTAGAATCTTCTTTGCTTATTCCGTGCATAACTTTAACATGAAAAGCTAGTCCTTGTTGACTTTTGAATGATTTTTCACAATGTTCACATTCAACATAAGTTTTAACAGCTTCCAACGGCAATCAGAATACAATCTCTTCTCCTCTATGCATTAACTTTTTAAAATCAAATGCAACGAGTGTAAGGTGCTTTCTCTTTATTTTATTTTTTTTTTTGACATTATTATTACTATTTCTTACAGTATTTGAATAAAAGAGTTAGAGAGAGCAATGTTACACTTCAAAGGGCTTTTTACCAAAGTATAAACATTTTTTTTTAGTTTATGTTTTGAAATTCTAAATAGAAGTTTATGTTTTGCTATGCAATGACAATGAATATTTCTTTTATTGATTTAAATGGTTTAAATTTAAAAAAAACATATTGAAAATTTCAATTTTTTTTAACTATTTACATAGATTATTAAGGCTCAACAATATGCTTATCTATGCTTATTTTTTAACAAAATTTGAGCTTTATAAAATTATAAGTGTAATGCTTATTTTAAAAAATAACATATATTTACTTGCAGTTTATTTTTTATGTTTTGTATGTATTACTTTTTATAATTGCGTAGCTCAGTGAACAAGAGTATATAATACAGACTGGGCAAACCATGTTCAAATCCTTGTGCTTTAAATGGTCATTCTTTTTTAGTTTCTTTATATAGATACATAGTTTATTATGATTATTTAAAATATAATTGAATAGGTGTATATTATCCAATGATATGAGGAGTGTACATAAATCGAGAAGCATAGTGTTTATACGTCGACTAAATTAAATTGAAATAGATGCAACAGAGTATACATAAATCAACTGAGAGTTTTGGTTAGGCCAGTCACTCTGTTATAATTACTATAACCTTTCTTCATATAATTACCAAATATCAACAATTGTAAAGTACCCTTCAAAACCAAACATAAAAAAACATACAAACAAAAGCAAAAAAACATATTAACTAAACTCTACCACATCCAAAAGTTTAGAGGTACCTTTAACTTTTTTTTATTAGAGATACATCTAGACATATCCGTAGCCACTGTCTTGTTTTATCAAAGCATATTTAAATCTTATTAAGTAAGTTAACATAAAGAAAGAAAGATATAAATACCTAACTTTTTAACAATTTTTGTCAAACTGCCAGTTGGTTCATCAACATGTTCTTTTTTATCCATTGATTACATAAATATTTTTTGTTGTTGTTGTTGTTTACCTAATTATTAACTAAATATGGAAAAATATATTCAATATATACCTAAATATCAATTTAACAATAATTACTCAATATACATCAATATCTATCGATGATAGATATTGATGATTGATATTACTAGCTATTTATATTATATCAAATAAAATATATGGTTTATAACTATTTATAAGTAAATAAATTTTCTGAAGGATTTTTTTTTTTTTTTTAGTTTATTGAAACAAAATCTTAGATTTAATACGATATAATGAATCTGACATTATTTTATAATGAATATTTTTTTCCTCTAAAGAATTTTTAATAACATGAATTGTTTTAAGTTTAAGGGGTATCAAACGCATCATTAGTATGATCATGCTACTTTTGAAATCTTGACTTAACTTTCAATATATTGCTAATTCCGATTCCTAATTATCAGATACTTTGATAATTCATGACTGCACTTCGATAAAAGCAATTTAATGCATTAACTTGATTTGTAAAAACGTTCTTACATATCAAATAAACTAAATGTGCCTAGCAGTCTAAATTAGGTTGAAGTTAACATCCATCGGATGTTAACTTCAACCTTTTAGTGAAAGGTTGAAGTTAACATCAACAACAAGTTGAAGTGAAAGTTTCACTTCAACTTCAACATTTTAAAATTCGGATGATCCAAATTCTGATTTTTTGAAATATATAATTTTTTTACTGATTTTTTCTAAAAGTATACTAAAAATTTATCATTATAATAAAAAACAGCAAAAAAAAACAAACATAACTATCAAATAAATTTAATAATGCATAAGTTGCCTAAGTTCAAATTAGGCTAGTCATACATTGATAAGACAGAACAGAAGTAAAGGGTAAACTTCGCGCCATAAACTTTGTTTACATCACGTGCTTGCGGAAAAAACAAGGTGGCTACATGACAGCAACGCTTACATATGACTATTGAAATTCCATGATATAACAAACCCGTCATATTGAAGATATTAAATCCCTTTTATGATGCAGTTGAAAAATAAGACAGTTGTAACAAACAAACACAAGAAAACAGAAGTTGAATCTAGATTCAACTTATGTTTTCTAACATCCAATTTGACTCTCTCATGTCCGAATGTGAAATTCTGTTTATAATAATATCGTCTATAGAATTTATTATTGCGCAGATGGTCTGTCAGAAATAAAATAAATTCTATGGACGTTTGAATAATCTTGCATAAGTTTACGAAGAACAGGAGGCAGATAGGCTTACATAACATTCACACCATGATCAAGATTTTCCAAAACTAATGCGAATGATTAAACCTACAAAGTTCACCTTCTTTAGATGCCAAATACTGCATTTCTATATAGATAGAAAGTCATGCCTTAGCAGCACCAAAATGAATATTTGAGAAATATTGTAGAATAACTTGCAAATATACTTTTGGGAAAAGATACTTGCGTGATTTTTTGCATTTCAATACTGACCTTTTTTTTTTATGTTTTTCATTATGTTTAAAAAAATTAGTTTCATATGAAGTATGTTTCATATGCGTTGCATGAAAAAATTTAGGTAAAAATTTTTTACCTAATTCTTTTGTTATTGTTATAATCGATGCTTTGTGCAGTAAAGTGATATGCGTGTGTCTTTTTAAGGTGTTAACTGAAGTCGTTATGTTCTTACCACAGAAAAGCTTTATTTTAAAAGGTTTTACATTTTCTGTTCATGCAATCTTTAATGTTTATATCGCAATAAATTGCAGTACAGATATTCTCCAAGTTGATTTCAGAAAGGATCTTTAGCTTATAAAATTTACTAGCAACAACTTTGATGTTTTCATCCTTTTAACATGCGGACGTTTCCCTTTCATTGATGTTTGGTTCAACTACTTACACTGGCCTTACTCGTAGAAAGGTCGCATATGAAATACTGGATGATATTTTGCGTATCGTTAGTTTTTTAGAGAATCCATTAAAACTCTCTTCTGGATTTTTTTTTTCTTTTTTTATCACAAAACCTGTTGTTTTCATCTTTCTGCAAAAATTTTTGAATCTGCATTGATTCCATCAATCGAGTTTCACGCACGGTTCTTTTTCTTACATATTCAAGATTGTTTCTTTGGTTTCCAGCCAATTATAACTAAGTATATAAATTTTGCTTTCGGAGAAACCGTACAATTGGGGTAGAGTGGGACAAGTGTGAGTAGAAGTGGGACAAATAAATTTAAAACAACATTTTAACACAAATTGTTAAATAAACTGATTAAAACTTAAAATCACCTGTCGACATAAAAATGTTTCAGAGCTGTCACCAATCGAAATAATTAAATGGCAACGGGAAGAAAGGGGCATAAATTCTTTTTTCTGTCCCAATTTACCCCAATATAAACACTTGTATAAGGTACATTTCAAAATTAGGGCTTCTAGCGCACGCAGGGAAAACAAAGCAATTTCTGCTAAATAGAGGGGAAGAAATTTAATTGTTTACATTAGATAACAGTATTTAGACATCACTCCTAATTTGAAATTTCAGGCTGTCCCACTTCTCTCGCGTCCCACTTCTCCTCACTCTCCCCTACCATATTATATGCTGTAATTTTTGCGTTACATAGATGGTTTGTCATTAAAACACGGAGTTTTTGTTGTTTTCTTGTATAAATTTGAAATATTAATTAGAATAGCATAGCAGTTTTATATTTTTTTAAATATCAATATTCATGATGGCAGCTCTATAAACACATCCAGTTACAACCTACATCAGGTAAACATCTATTAACAGGAATAAAAAGTGGAAAATATGAAATATGGATTCGCGCTGCGAAGCTCTGTAGTTAATATTGCCACGTTTTAAATGTTTAAACGTCAAAGTATTGCACATTTAAATCTTTTCTATTAAATAGTTGTATATCTGAGTTATGTGAATCTCCTTAAGCAAAACATTGTCAGCGGATTCAAAAAAGTTATTTTGTTTCAATTCGTGACGTCAAATAATAGACACAAATAATATTATAACAAGTTTAATATTACCACGTTATACAGTTTATATTTTGTATTACTTTATTACATAGTATAAAGATTACATTTAAACGTAATAAAAGAAGAACTATATATAAAAATATAGTTTTAAAAACTCATCATCCCGACATTTTGTTAACAGTGGCTTATTATAATATAAGGTTATAATATATCAATAAAATATTTAACAATAAAATAGTGTAGTACTAGGTACATATTAATTTTCTATTTCTTGTAAATCTGCTTGTTTTTCTAGATAAAAGGAAACAAGATTTTCGTTATTTTCCAAAACATTTACTGTTCTTCGTTTCGAAATGTATCCTTTTGCAGACGCCTCAACAATATAGTTGCCACTTAGTAGTAGGCGCCAGTACTCTCCTGTAGAAGAAGTTATGATGTCTTTATCACGCCCTACAATCTTAATTGTTGCTCCTGCAATCGGATTTCGGGAATCTAATTCACGAACTACTCCTGAAAAAAAGAAAATGTAGATTTTTATGTGTTTTCAAAAAATTATACTTTTATGTTGTTTTTTATTATTATAATTTTGCCAATTTTATACTTTTAAGGTATAACTTTGTGTACAACTTAATAACTTCGTTTAATTTAACTTTGTAGATCGAAATTAGAGTCACAGCCTTTGGAACTAGTTTCAACTTTTTCAAAAAAAATTTAATTTCGCTAAATGAGCTAATTCTTTATTCTATTTTTTATTTTTGAATGTTAATGATTATAGTAATTTTAATTATATTTTTTAATAAATTAAAAAATACCTCTGAAACTATGAATTGTTTTTTTGATTTTTATTAAAAGAAAAACAGTTTGACAACGAAATTTGAAAGGTAAACAAGGACTTGAAACCAAAATATATATATATATATATATATATATATATATATATATATATATATATATATATATATATATATATATATATATATATATATATATATATATAATCGACTAATAAATATAGACGACTATAGATATGATATAGACGACTTAAAATAAATAAAGACTCGAACTAAACTATCTCTTGTAGACATACACCAATTAATAGAACTTTCATTGAGTATTTGCTATTTTCTATATGAAAACAAAATCCGAATAATACCTAATTCAGGTCCTATAGGCTTGTCTTTAATGGTTGTTATGGCAAAAGCGTTTCTACAGAATATAGAAAGAAAAGCTCTTAATATAGCTACTATTTGTACATGTGAACCAAAAACTTTTGTGAGATATGTAGACGACTGTCACGCTCGCTTTAACTCAATAAAACAACAACAAATGTTTCTAAATATCCTAAACGAACAAAACCCTGCCATAAAATACACTGTTGAACTCGAAAACCACCAAAAACAACTTAACTTTCTAGATGTTAATATTAAAAACACAATTCATGGAGCTTATGAATTTCAAATACATCGAAAAGGAGCAATAACTAATATTCAACTAAAACCTAACTCAAACATCAATCCTAATATTATCACTGGCGTATTCAAAAGGTTTTTATGTCGTGCAAAGAGATTATGCTCTCAAAAATATCTCAAACAAGAAATTGATTTTCTAATAGAAATGTTTGTTGAAAACGGGCACAACAAGAACAATCTAATTAATATTGCCAAAAACTTTCTAAAAAACGAATTAAAAAATACCAATTATAAACCAACCGACAACCAACCATTTATAAAACTACCATGGATACCAATCGTTGGTCCCAAACTTAGAAAGGAACTTAGAAAACAAAACATAAAAGTTATATTTACATCCGCTCCAAACTTAAACAATATTTTATGCAACAATAAGACAAAACTTCCTCCAAATACAAACCCAGGCGTCTACCAACTAAAATGTTCATGCAATTCTATATACATTAGAGAAACTAAGATGAAAGTTATATCGAGATGTATTGAACACCAGAAAAATAGTGTTAAAGGAAAATGGGCCAGTTCAGGTGCTACCGAACATTCCAAATCATGCCAGGGTACATTTGATTGGTTACATCCCAAAACCATACCAATCGCTCCAGAGTATCATATTCGGAAAATTCGAGAGTCACTCGAAGTAAACAGAGCTAAAGTTCGACAAAAACTTGGAAGTGATGAAAAAGTATTAAATAGGGATGATGGTGATTACGTGACGACAAAAACTTGGGGGCCATTTTTTGTTAGATTATTTGACGTCAACATTTAAAGCTATTTTGTATTTTGTTATGCTCTTTTTAATGTTATCTTTTTAACGGTTAGTTTTTATTACAACAATTTTCTTTGTAACGACATCCCCCCTCCCCAAATTGGGCGTAAAGTGCTGCCTTTTCATTCAAAAGTAGGTTTAGTATCAAGCAGACACCACAGGTCGCTATTTTTGAAACGTGTATTATGAGAAAAAATAGTTGCTGTTACACTTATTAACTCGTGCGTGCAAACTTTATGTTAGAAAAATTTTAACGCATGATTGTATCAAAGTTGTGTTTAAAATTTGTTAATTATTGGATGTTTAATCAGTATAAACGTATAAATATAATCAGTGTGAAAACTGTTTTGTTAGCTTAGAAACAGAAATAATTCTAAAGAAGTTAAACCCTGAAATGACTAAATGTGTTTTTTTATTCAAAGTACCACTAGGTTACCAACATATTTATTCTGTAAACATATTTAGAAAGATTATCGAACAATATGATGTCAAATCTTTAACATCACAATGTTTGTGACAAAACACTAAAAAAAGCAGTGAATGTGACATTAAAATAATTTTCTGATTTAAATAGCTAGATTTTAATAGAGCTTCTCACTAAAACGTTGCGTGTAAGCCAGGCTGTGCTTGTTAATATAATATATTATATGCAAAATATAAAAATTTATATAATATATAAAATATTTATACCTTTCAAAAACAATAATATACTGAAAATATACAGTATAAGAATAATACACTCAAAAAAAAATTTTAAATAAGCAAATAAACACACTTTATCTCTGAGAAATTTATATAGTTATTGCTAAACGTCTTATTTTTTTTTGATTGAGACAAACATAACCTTGTTTTAAAAAATCTCATTTTTCTGTTAAAGATATTTATAAAAAGCTCTATCATGAACTATACAGCCTTGGACGAGTAAAGAGAAATGTAACATTAGGAATACGTACAAATAGTGCAAAAAGTATGATTGGAAAAAATGACTTTGTCTCCTTGAGAGATACGACCAACTTAAGCTAGTAGCGTTTGAACTTTTGACAACTTTTGGATCTACGTATTTCTGTGAGCAGATGTTTAATAAAAATGAACACCATTAAAAGTAAAATGAGATTCTCTTTCAACAATGTTGGCATTGAAAGTTGTCCAAAGGTCATAAATTATGAGCCTGATGTAATATAAATCTGTGAATCAGCTGACTCACAAAAATCTTACTTTTGCTTTTGTTCATTTTTATTGAAATTTTTATTAAACTATTTATTTTTTCATTTAATTTGCATTATGTAAAAATACATAAAAAATATAAATGTTATTGAATTTCATTTCATATCAAGTTATAATTTGTGGGTAATGATCTACAGTTTTTTACACTCTGGTTACGGTGGTGATTTTTTTTTTAAATTATATAAGGAAAAGTGGTATTCTACATAAACCTCTTAACAGTGGCGTACCTACGGGGGAAGGGGGGCTCACCGCCCCGGGTGTCATCCACTTTTGGGTGACACCCAATTTATTAATATCTTATATTTTATTTTGGTTTATAATTAAACAGTCTTACATAAAAAAATAAGTGGGTATTTATTTACACGACCTACGAAATGCTGAATGCTGAAAGATATAGTTATCATTATTTAGAAAATATAATCGCTTAGCTTTCTTATTATTGCCGAAAACAAGGTTTAAAATTACATGTGTCAATGTTTTTAAATACTGCTTTAATAATTTCGTATATAAAAGTAATTACATATAATATATGGATGACACCCTATTTGCCGCCCCGGGTGACACTATAACTAGGAACGCCACTGCCTCTTAAAATTTTTTATGTAACTTTAAAATTTTAGTTCAGACCTAAAAAAATTTTATTTGTTTTTGAAAAAAGCGGTATTTAGAAAAAAAGTATGTTTAAAACTATGTTTCTAAACAAGCCTCATTCAAAAAAAAAAAAAAATTCAATAAAATTAGTTTAAAATATGTATTATTATAACATATCTACCTTTAATTCCCATGTGGACTTTTTGTATAAGCTTAATTAATGAATTTTTATTGTCATTCCAAAGGTGTGGTAATAGATTGGCAGGTGGAAATTTAGCGCAACTAATTTCTATTGTTATTTCAAAGCAGTTAGTGTATCTATAGTTATAGTCTTGCATGCTACCTGCAACAATGTACCAAAACGCTCCATTTGTAATACCATTTTCAAAGTGTTCTCTCGAATTACATGTGTTACCTAAATGCATAGTTGGGTGCGTTTTAGCATACTCCAGTGATATAAACCTGATAATAAATAAAATAACTTAATTATTTAGGCATGCTTAAGTTGTGCACGTCAAATATCTGTGATTATTTTTATTTATCATTCCTCATTGAAAAAACTTTCAATCTGTTTGCAACATAAAAATATTAAGGATAAAAATTTGGACTAGAGCTGGCAGAAAACAATCTTTTTTTTTAGTCCTGTTTAATATATATATATATATATATATATATATATATATATATATATATATATATATATATATATATATATATATATATATATATATATATATATATATATATATATATATATATATATATATACACACACACACACATACATATATGTATGTATGCATATTTGTATTTATGTATGTATGTATGTAAGTATGTATGTATGTATGTATGTATGTATGTATGTATGTATGTATGTATGTATGTATGTATGTATGTATGTATGTATGTACGTATGCAATCATGTGTGTATGTATAACACGGTCGCACGTTTTATCTCACACAAAAAAATTTTCGTTTGAACTAAATTAGAGCTATAATATACGTATTGAAATCACAAACATACGATATGCGTTTAATTTAATTTATGTGAAGCCTTCATTCAATTTATTATGCTGTTAAATATTTGATGCGCGATTTAATAACCAAAGATTATTCATATATTTAAAATTATCCTACGAACCATGTGGGCACAGGACATAAAAAGACGTCTTTTAAACGTTGAACGACTTGGATGTCTTTTAAACGCTTAAAAGAGGTCTTATTAAGGCTCCGTGCCCTCTGGGTAGGTAGAATTAAGATTAGAAATGTTTACCCAAAACATTTTTCTTTACAAATGCGGTAGTCGAGTAGCGATAGTACTACATTAACCTTGTAAACATGAAAATTGATTAAAAATTAATTGCTGTAAATGGTTTGGATTTGGGGAAGCAAATGTGATTAAAAAAAAATCAAAAACTTTTTTGTTCATAAAACGTCCAGAAGCCGGAGCTGAATCGGGAGCCCAGCGGAGCCGTAAAAATAACTTTCGGCTTCAAAAGCTTGCTTTTGTTTTACTTATATCTGGAAAAACCTCTACCTGTTTTTAACAACCTTTTTACGTTAGAACTTACTAATAAATACACAATTAGATAGTTTGCTAAATAAACCATCTTTTTATAACTTTTTTTTGTAATAATTATATTTACCTTTGGAATAAAATAGTTTTGCCTAATGTTGATTTTTGTATTCGATTTCCTGTTTTTAAAAACGAATTAAAAAATTTAGTTACTATTAATTTAGTTCTATTAATTTATAATAGAACTAATATAAAAAAAACTATAGTTATTTTATAAAATAAACTTTGATATATGAGATTAATAATATTAGATAATTTTTTCCTTTGGTTTATAACAGATTAAAATATTGATTATACGTCTTAACTTGTTAAAGTGGTTTTATTACATCTTTCTTTCTGATATTTATAATGAAAATCATTCTTTCGATTTATACATTCAGTTTTTATAGTATGATTTATTGTTCTTTTTTACTACTTTTGTTTTAAATTGTAAAGGCTCTGCTGATTAGATCATTATGATTTTCTTCAGAAGCCTTGTTTGTTTGTTCTTTTCTTTCAAAAGCCTTGTTTGTTTGTTCTTGTAAATATAGTATGTATTTTACGACAAATGTAAACAAAACAAAACAAAAAAAGATTATTTCTGCTACTATTATTTTTATGCTATTCGCAATCATAAGGTAAAATATTTTGCCAGATATAATATATAATGGTTAATTTACATAAATACAAGACCAGGGTGTGACACCCTTTCCCCAACCAATGAATTTTATAACATCAGTTGGCAAATTGGAACCTTTTTGAATCTTTAGTCTGCAAATTGTATATATATATATATATATATATATATATATATATATATATATATATATATATATATATATATATATATATATATACACATATACATATATATGTATTGGATGTTCAAATTTTCGTCATTTGACGTCTTTTTCTGCCCAACTATAAGAAGTTGTATAAACGTCTTATTAACATCTGTACTTGTTGGGTAGTATCTTCCTAATCTAAACTTTTGGATTCTGAATAAAAATCTTAAAAAACTTTAAATGCAGCTAAATGTTATATAACCAAAAAAGAAAACAACAAAATGCAGAAAGAAATACATTATCTCATTATTTATTTAAACAAGTTTTTTTTTCATTATTTCTTTAAACAAAATACGGATGCGCAATTATTCCGTCAAAGTTAGACAATTTTGCAATACCAAAAACATATTTGCATTTGCATATTACGCGTATTTGGTTAAAACTGACTTTTTTTCAAGAGAAAAAAGACATACATACAAAACTACACAAAAAAGATTAAAAGACCTTTTTTTATTTCTTAATAAAAGTCTAAATAAAAAAACGTCTTGCTTTTCTAAAAAAAAAAAAAAAAAGCTTTCTTCGACTTTTTGTGTTTTCGAACTTCGGAACATTTTTAAATGTTCCGAAGTTCGAAACATTTTTAAATGTTCCGAAGTTCGAAACATTTTTAAATGTTCCGAAGTTCGAAAATCTTCCCACGAACGTCGATAATCCTGAAAGTGAATTTTTTTTTGCAGAACTTGGCCTAAACATTAATATTTTTCTAGATAACAAAAGAAAAAAGTTCCGACTGTATATTGCGCAATTTTTTTTTTTTTTTGCAAGTTAAAGTGAGTTTGCATTACATATAACATTTAAAACAGATTACATAATGTTGTTTCACTGTTTGGTAATCTGCAGATCCACACACACACACACATATATATATATATATATATATATATATATATATATATATATATATATATATATATATATATATATATATATATATATATATATATATATATATATATATATATATATATATATATATATATATATATATATATATATATAAAACTTATGTACGAAAGGTTGCTGTGATAATTTGTTGTAGTTTGTTTGATTAAAACATTTTGTTACTCGATTTTGATTGTAGTTATTATTAATTTTGTAGAAATATCTAGGTAAGTTAAAACAAAAAAGTATTTTTAATTGTATGCTTTATTTTAATCACGAGCGACAATTGAAAGTTCTTAATCTAATATAATTTAATGTAAGTTAAACTTGAGTTTTAGTATTAAGCGGAATAACTTGTTCCGCTTAATACTTTATTGGCATAAAGTTCCATACGTTATTATGTTTAACGAAAGAATTACAAGAAATATTTAAATTTGCTTGCGCTTTTTTTTTTAAGGCCAAAAAAATATTTCCCGGTAAAATTTTAGGTAGTGAAGAGGAGAAGATTTAAAGTTTGCTTTGCGAAAGTTGGCATCTATGGAAAAATCTGATAATATTAATACGCTAATTTAATAGTAGTAATAGTCGACTTACGTCATTTTCTGAGCTTTCTATTTTAAAGTAGTTTCTAGACTTTTCTATACGCGGTTTTTTTTTAATAATTTTATCTACTAACAACCCGCATTACGGATTGCTTACTGCTAGTTTAGATAAATTTAAGAAGGCAGTTTAGATAAATTTAAGTTGAATAGAATATATAATTCTTATATATTCTATTCAACTGGGCTTTTGTAGTTTTTAAATATAGTTTTTAGTTAATAGACTGTTTTACCCCGTTGAAGTTGCATTTAATAACAGTGTAAAGTTTATTTAATAAGTTAATTATTGAATTTTTTTGAGTTTTTAATTTCTTTCAAGAAAATAGTTCTAATTTCTTGATTAAAATTTCTTGAATTTTTTAACAGATTTTCGTCAGAAAATTTAAAATTTTTTACAAATAAACTTGAAACGCAACTAATTGTCTAAACAAATATTGTTTTTGTTGTTGTTGTTGTTGTTGTTTTTGTTTGTTTTTTGCGGTCAATTCTAAGCCTCCTATTTTTGCATTTTTACAACAATATATTTTAATGCAATATAAGAAGTCAAATATATAAACAATAATAAAAATAAATAATAACAATTGTTATACCAAGATATATTTGCCTTTACTGATTTTCAAGATTTTTTTTTTGCGAAAGTAAGCTTTTATACTTCATTTTAAAACATACCTGTAAACATCGTCATCTGGTGAAATACCATACACATTTTCTACAAGCGACTTTAGTTGAACATTATCGTAAGGGTAGTTTACGACTAATGCGCCACCGTGTAGACTTGCTGAAAGTACAAACGGATAAGATTTTAGCCATTCTATTACAGCTGCTGTTTCTTTTTGCAACGGGTTAGGTCTTTCATCAAACGGATCAGGAAAATTTCTGTTTAGGTCTGCAAAATTAGTATTGTATCTACCTGAATGGATTCCTCTTTTTTTTTTAGCATGTTTTGCAACTTCGAAACCGTCAGGATTTAGAGAACACATTATATGAATTCTGGTACTATTAATAATTTCTGTTATTGTTTGGTTCTTTCCATACGATGTCAATAAATATTCAATCAAGTGAAAAAGAACTTCTTTTCCGACAGGTTCATTACCATGAATGTTTCCAACATATTTAAATTCTGGTTCTAAAAATTCGTGAACCCCTGGGTTGTCGCTAATTTCTACAACTAAGAGACTCCTATTCAATATGCTGCTTCCTATGCTGTAAAGTCTTGAGATATCTGCGTATTTAGTTGTTAAGTTTTTTAACTTCATATGAAGTTTTTGATGCGAGTAATAAATAAACGGTAATCTACAGGAAAAGTACGGCAGAAAAAAACAGGTTACAAATAGAATAATCAATATTTTATTCATGATTCTTGAACAAAGCTTAAATCATCAGGAAAAATAATTTGCTTTGACAAAAGCTAAATCAAACAATAAAAAAAAAACATGAAAATTTTGCAGCACTGTTAAATAAGCAACCTGCTGTCAGTGACAAACAAACAGAGAATTAGGAATTGGCATAATATTTTATGCAAAATATTTTCTAAAATGACAGTGATAAAATTGAAAATAAGAGTAAGCGTTCAAAGTACTTAAAAGTAAAAATGTTAACTTTATTTTTAATTAAAGAGTATATATATTTAAAAAATAGTTTATATTAATATATACTTTACATTTACTCCTATCTTCAAAAATTAAAAAAAATTAAAAATGACGTCAGCTTTTATTGGTAAAAATACTCTTATCATCGAATCTTTGTTTAATGCAATAATAAAGGATGTTATATGAGCTTATGTAATAAAAGCCCATGCTAAAATTTTCCTGTTAAAATTATATTCATTCTTGTCTTAAGCAGTCAACATGGTGAAAAGTGCTCCGAGTTAATACGATGACTTGTGAAAAAAAGGAGAACAAAGATGCGTGTTAACAGTTTTATAGTTAAACGAGTGTTTGAATAAATAGATTAATTTAGCTTTGAACGACAAAAAAAAAAAAAAAAAAATTATCGAAAATTCCATTGTTTTAAAAACATTTCCGTTGAAATTTATTGATTTCATTTTAACTTTGTTAACTTTTTATTACTTATTATTATTACTTTATACACTTTTAGTCTCACTTTCAGGTTTAGTTTTATACACTTTTAGTCTAACTTTCAGGTTTAGTTTTATATACTTTTAGTCTCACTTTCAGGTTTAGTTTTATAATAAACATAAATACACTTTAGTTTTATAAATAAACATAAATACACTATACACTTTGCATATTGGTTTGAATATAAACTTATAAAATTTTATAAACTTATAAAATGATGACATAAAAATAACTAAATATAATAAATAAATCTTAATATTACAATATTTGTATAGGAAAAATTGTATCGTTGTTTAAATTTTTTTTTTCCTTTTTATTTTAAATTGTCACACTCGGAGAATTTAATATCTATTTACTTTTTCTTTTTTAATATTTAAATTTTTATAACAGTGCACTTAAAATTCGCTGTGTTGAAGGTTTTGTTTTGAAAATTTCTGTTACATTTGGAACCAATTTCAAACTAAACTAAAGACTAAACTGATATTGAATGAAATAAAAAATTAATTATAAACTCTTCATTTAAATAGTTAGAAAACAGTTACACGTTTCAATCATAACGTAAAAAAGTTAATTTTAATTCAAAAGTAAAAGCAAATAGTTTTAAAAAACACTAGATTAAGTTTCTATTTTTAAAAGTAGACATACTTAAAAATTTGTTTATTTTTTAAATTCAAATAAAAACACCAAGTTACTTTTTAAATATGTTTTGAAAATATTTCTATATATAGAAAAGATGGTAATATATAACACATCAATGTATTCAAAATAAATTTTGAATACATTGACGGGTTATATATTACCATCAATATTTAAGCTTGTATAATATGCAAAGAAAAATTAGTTAAAAAATAAATTTATTTCAAAATAGAAAAATAAGGTTTTCAATTATGATATGAATTATAATGCAATTGAAAATTTATCACCAAATGATAATATTCCTGGTTCCAGCGAATTTATTTCTTTAAACTTAAATTATATAGTAAAACAAATAGAAAATAAAAAATCAATGTGTAAGGGTTTAAATGTTACTTCATAGAATCTTTTTAAATGTAATCTTCATAGAATTCTACTCATCGTTTTTAAGTATTTTATTTAAAACTATTAATTTTTTGTGAAAAACTATCGGAAAATATCAACAAGGTTCTTTACAAGTTTTTTTACAAAGAAGGTACAGTTCTAAATTGAATTGTTGATTATCTTTCAATAAGAACTTAAGTATCCAAAATAAAAGATGAATAACCGGGTGAATTGGTTTGTGAACCCCTAATTCTGCAGACTAGTGTGTTCGTACCTCTTTTATTTATTATATAAATAATTATATTAAAATGTGGCTGGTCAACTCACAAAATAAAAATGTTGAAATATTGCTCGGTTGAGCATATAGAAAAGAAATGTTGCTCGGTTGGATCAGTGTAAAAAATAGAATAATTATTAAATCAAATGTTTTATTCATAATGTTACATCAACTGAAAATAATGCACTTAAGTCATTGTATTTAAAAAATTGTGAATTACATTAGCATAGCACTGAACAAACTGGTTATTTTCTAATAAAGCCATTCTAATAGAGCAGGACAGAAGCCATTGTTTACATGCGGTTTAAATCGATATCACAAAATAGCTGACAAATTCATTCAAATAGACTTTAAAAAATTCAAAAAAAGAACTCTTTAAGTTCTAAAAAAAAATTATGTAATAAAATCCCTGTATATTTATTTTAGTTTCTTGTAAAAGTTACTAAACTAGCATTAAGTTGCTAAATAAATAAATAATTTAATAAAGCTATAACTTTTTTACTAGATATAACTCGATCTTCGACAGGTGTTACCATTTTTGTTTATACATTTTTTTTTCCTCTTACATTAAAAAGATTTAAAAATGACGCCATATTTTTTTAAATTTAGTTAACTAGGTTATATTCTTATAAGAACTTTTTCAATTCAAAAAAATTAACATAATTTAATTGATTTACACAAATGCTTGTGTTTTAAATTTTTTATAGTTAAATTTAAAATTATTCAATCTCAAGTTAAAAACTCGTTTTGTTTAGCCAGAGATGTAAGATAAAAGATTGTTGTTGGATTGCTAATTTTTGGCAGTCGCTTTAGTTCACCATGTGCGTTTTAAAAAAATTTAGTGGATTGAAAATGGACTGATACAAAATTGCTAAAAATTATCTCTTAGACTTTTATATTTTTTCTTTATTCTTCTATTATATTAGTTTAGTCATTATACAATGAAAACATTATTTATTTGAGTTTATTATTTTAGACTATTTATTTGAGTTCAAATCTGAAAAAAAAAGTTCCTCGTGTTTTAAAACACTCTATAGTATTGATTCTAAGAGTGTTTTTTATGTTTTTAACTCTAAGGGTGTTTCATATGTTTCTTAAAAGAGTGTCAGCACTCAACTGTTTAGTCAATAATGGTCTTTAAGTTAACAAATTTTTTAACCTTAAGTTAATGTTAAAAAATAAAAATTCGATTAAGGTTTTTATTGTTAGAAGTTATTAAACTAATTTTATAAAATAATTAAAAAAAGCTTTTTAGTTTTAGAAATTATCAAACTAATTAATTAAAATTAACTTTTTTTTTACAAACTTTTTAAATTACTTTTTGGTTGCAATTTTCATTGTAAAATCTTCTAAATGCCCAAAAATACCTCAGACTATTTAAAGGTTTTGTTTAAATCCAGGAAAAAAAGTTCTATAGATTTTCTATAAATTTTTGAAACATTTGGCCTATAGAAATTCTGCAGAAATTCTATAAAACTTCTATAGAATGTCTATTAACTTCTATAGAAATTATAAAACTTTTTTTTTTCTATAGAAAAAAAAGTAGAAAAAAAAGTTCTTTAGGAATTTCTATAGAAATCAACAGAGAATCTAGAGAAATTCTATTGAATTTCTATAGACCAAATGTTTCAAAAGTTTATAGAAAATCTATAGAACTTTTTTTCCTGGGAAGGTTAAGATGCTATTAACTATTTAAAGGTTAAGACTGTTTTTTTAGTCAAAGAGGAAACACTTAGGACGATGGCAGTTTACTTACCAAAGATTTTACCGGTGCCCAGGAAGAAAGGTTCTATTGAATTTCTATAATCTTTTGAAACATATGGCCTATAGAAATTCTATAGAATTCTATAGAATTTCTATAGAATCTCCGTTAATTTTCATAGAAATTCCTATACAACTTTTTTTTATACGTATATTTATAATGAAAAAAAAAGTTTTATTGCAACTTCTATAGAAACTAATAGAAGATCCATGGAAATTCTATAGAACTTTTATAGAATTTCAATAGATCATATGCTTAAAGAATTTATTTAAATTCTTTAGAACTTTTTTCCTGGGTGTTTACTCAATAGAAACCACTGATACTTATTAATTTTTACAATGGCGCTGGTAAAATAAAATTTATAAAAACATTAAACTTGCGTTTTATATTTTCCACAAATAAAACTTGAGTTAAAATCAAGGTCACCGAGAGGGAGAGGCAAAAGGAGCATACGCGCCCCGGGCGTCAAGATAATAAGGGCGCTAGAAAGACGAAAGGCAAAAAAAAGCGTAATGAGATTTTGATTAAAAAAAAGTAAACAAATTGTTTGTATTAATTAGGTATAAAATAAATTTACTAGGCTATGCACAAAGCAATTAGCTTTGTTTATTATTATTAACAAAAAAAGAAGTATGATTTTAAATAAATCTTCTTTCGTTGGTTGGTGGGGACTAACCAAAAAAAAAACAAATTTTGGCTTGTTTTTTATATGACGACATTAAAGTCGACAATCTTATCCAGACAATACATTTTATTGTTAAAGATAAGCTTTGTCAGTTTATAAAATTCTCATAAATACTTTTATGATTATTCTGAAAAAAAATTTAACCACGATTTTAAATAGCAAAAAATAAAAATAAAAAACTAAATTAATTAATTTTATTTGCTAAGATTGAACAACTCCCTAAATAGTGTTAAAATCTCAACGCAAATCAAATGTTACGCCTACTTTAAAAAAAAAAAACTAAGTCAAGACTTATAACTACAAACTGCTGTCTCTCACTTATACCGTGCAAGGTGACGGAAAGAATTGTCATAGATAGAATTATGAAAAACTGCTCACAATCTTATATCAAAGTCTCAACATCCAATACTGTGCCACACATCAACACGATGTCATTGTGTCACTCAGTGCCTTCAAAAGATTCATGCCTATAGGCATGAATCTTATGAATATTATACAAAACATTGACTACAAACATTGAAATATTTTTCATTTATGATTAAGAAATAAAGTTTTATTTTTTAAAGCAAATGAAGAGTACACGGGGGAAAAAACGGCAAGGTCACATTC